TTATAAAATTCTTTATTTCCAGTATTTTGTCCTCCCTTGTTTTATTACTGGGGGCATGTTTTCCCCGTTTATCTACAGGAGGGGTCATATCAGAGGCTTTGCTCAACATGACTCTACTTATTCTACCATCTGAAACTTTAAACACTTTTTTGAAGAACTCCTTGCAGATCTTTACTTCTTATCCGTTTTCATTAGTTAAGTAGTACAATCGCGTATTCGAACGTCTTGAAGGATTTGCGTTGGTTTTGTAACACCTTAATTTATTTACAACTTCGACTAAGCCGAACATGTAAGAAGTTTGTAAATCATGAGTTTCAAGTCCATAAAAGTTTTTGAGTAGGGTTTTTTGTCTTTCAGCATTTATCTTCACGTGGCACTGATTAGAAAAGGGGCACACTATTTCTTCAAACAACTTAGGCGGTACTACCCTACCTTTGAAATTCCTATATTCTTCACCTTTTATTCGCTTCGCTTTCATAATATTTCTCGGCCACATTTGCTCATTCCTGGTGCGTTTTCTTGTTTTCACTGTTGCATTTATAGTAGCCTCATCCCTTTCGCTTTCACTTTCTGAGCCACTTGGATTACTAGGCACATATTCGGAGCCAGAATCGCCAAATGGGTCATCCTCATACGGGTCTGAAAGTGAAAAACATAACCTCAAAAAATTCGTAATATTTTATATGCAGAATTAGTACTAAAAGACTAAATTTCTTACCGTTAACGTGCGGTGAAGTACTCATTTTCTTCTCTCTTTTAACTCACACACAGTTATTGCTTTCAATTCAGTTCTTTCTCTCACAACACAACAAAACTTTTAAAGCTTCGTAGAAACTGATTGCGCAAGAACGGCCTAACCCACAGGACTGTGGATCATGGGCGAAGTTATGTCATCAGATCTGGGGGGCTAAAGCCCTAACCCTAGTCATATAATATATAATAGTTCTAGAGGTATACTGAAGTTAAGTAAAAAAATTCTGGCGAATCTATGAAAATGGATAAAATATCATATATAATATATATATTTATATCAAGTAAAAAACCTGAAAAATGTTCATCACAATAATTCATTAAAAAATTTCCTCATTTTCGCAGTCATGAAATAGTAGTTTGTGCAACAAGAGTAGATATGGACAATTCACTCGAGTTGTAGAGTATATTTTTTCTATGAACCACTAAGGAAAATATAAAAATTTAAAAAATTATTTTAGGTTTAGACAAAATAACTAATTTTAAAATAATTTATGAATTTTATTAATTTATAAAATATAATAAACATAAAATAAGCCCCTTGTCCAGATTCGAACCCAGGCTATTCGCGTGGAATCTAGATGCTCTGTCCTCTGCTTCACTCCACTCCAGGTTTTTAGTTTTAATACTCGTAATTAAATCAGTTTCATACAATTTGATTAAAATTCATTTTTTTAAATGTGGCCCAAATAAAAATAAAAATGCCATTTTTTATCGATTCTAAACAAAAATAACTAATTTTAACGTATGTAATCTTAATGTCTAAAAAATATACTGACAGAATTTAAAATTTTAAAAATAATAGTAGTTGGGTGTCCAAAATATGAATTGTGATTGGTGGATTTCATTTTTTTGCAGTTTTCTCACTATGTTATGTTGGGAATGGGGTGTTAATACACTGCGACCTAAAAGATCTATTGTGCCCCCTTCTGTCGCTTATGCAGCACGGAAATGTCTCGATGCCTATAACGATCCTTCCAATTATGTTTTCTCAAGGAAGTGTAGGATTTGGAGTGGCTTCAAGTTAGGTAAATTTCCCTCTTCTATTTTATATGCTCCTAGGTATAGTGCCCTTTGATTGGAGTGCTACACATTCAGTTAGAATGTGAACGAAGGTTTCGTCCTCCTCACAGAATCTGCAGTCACTATATTCTACTAATCTCAGTTTACTAAGGTGTCCTTTTAGTTTTGATTGTCCAGTAAGGATCCCTGTTACAAGTGTTCTCACTACTAGAAACATGTATAATATGAAAACAACTTCAAATACAATCTGGCTAATGTGGAACATCCCGAAAGCCTTGCCAGACTCATCTAATGATCGCCAGGCGCGCTAAATTCGGCACGTTCTATTGCTATTCCTCTCCTCGTTTAACTATTTGGCTTGTCAGTCCGACCAAAATATGGTTTTATAACCGAAACAGAAACTAAATTTCGGCTACTTTCTTAGTTTCGGCCGAAACCGAAACAGAAACAAGAACTTTGTTTTAAGGCAATCTCTTATTGAAATTTGCAGTATCTTATTGTTTTAGACTAATTAACTCGTATTATAAATTTAAGCTACATTTACTTATTACCTATTTATTTTTAGTGATCAAAAGTAGCCATTAATAAATTTATGGACATTCTTTTTTTTATTACTTTTAAAATTAAAAAAAAAAGTAAGTGAATTACAAAGTATCAATCATTTCTGCATCTGTAGTAGATATTTTGTAACAAAAAATAGTATTATGAAGGGAATTATATATAATGTATAATTTTTATAAAAAAAAAAAAATAAACAAATTCAGCGGATTAAATATGTTTGTTACTTATAATTAAATTAAACAGTCCAACGTTGTAGGGTAAAAAAAAATATTTTTCCACGTTTTCACCTAAAAAATTGCTCCTTTGATCCGAATAAATTAGGCCAGGAGCACTAAAGACTGTTCACTTGAAACAAAGCAGAGATGTTTGTGTGTACGTGCACTGTGTAAGAATGGCACCCGGCACAGTCGCCATTGTGCAGGACACAACCAAGTGTGATACGAAAACTTTCGAAAGTAGTTTTGCTGTCGGCTGCAGTTTCGGCCAGTTTTCCGTCGAAACCGAAACTGTAGTCGAAACTCTAATTTTAAGCCGAAGTTGGCCGAAACCGTAACCGAACCTTCGGTCAGACACTACTTGTGAGTCTGGCAGGCCTTCGTGATTGTAATTTTCAGCCAGACGTGTATTTTCACTTAGAATACCACTAGTGACTAAATTATTTCCGGAAATTTTTTCAAACTTAAGAATATTTTGAAATTTACTCGAAGACGATGGATAAGTTTCTTAAAATATGCGTGAGTGAGCAAAAATTTACTTATAATAATTTAAGCACATGTGGTATTGGGTAAGAAAATTTTACACCAAAATATCCAAATTTCAAAACTTGACAGACATACATTAAAACGACTAAAATCAAATTTTCAAAGGTGGCCATACCACAGCATATAAAACATATATTTTTTAAATGCTGTGGCCATACCATGACCATTTGTCATATTTGAAGTCTTTTAGTTGACGCGAAAAACCTCATTATTATTTTACTTAAAATAAATGTAGTGTATTTCTACCTAGTTATAATTGATATTAAATAAAATATTAACCACTAAAACGGCAAATTTTTAATCACACTATCGCGTTGCGTCGTAATATTTTATGCATGGAAGGGCTTCTCAACTTTCAAAAAAATTTTCAGTATAATTTCGTTTAGGGTACCCACCAATAGGAAAATTAACGGAAATTTTTCTAGTTGTCATGGAAACGTTTTAAAATAACAGCATTTGATCGGCTATAAAATAGAGGTGTAAAATTACAATATTATCTATTACGTGACAAATTTTCAAACCCGGGAAAATAAAAGCAAAAATATTATATTTTTTCGATTTTGAAGATGTTACCAGACTCATTTGCCAATTTCGTAAATCAGCCAGACATTATTATTAACATTTCATGATTGTATCAATTTATATGCTAAATTTTATGCCACACTCACTTTCCACTATCTGAGATAATCCAAACTGCTATTTTTATAAACTTTTTGTTCTAGTTTAGTAAATGTATAATATTTATGACTGGGAAAATAAGAGTCAGACTCAAAAATTTTGTTTTTTGTTACTCATATACACGTACTGGAAAAATGAGTGGGTACGAAAAAAATTCACTGCCTCCTGAGCTAAATGTAAAATTGCAGAATCAATCAAATGGCACGATTCTTTTTATTTTTTAATTTCTGTTCTAAAATCTGAAATGTATGAGTAGATGTGCGATAAATGTTCGAATTATTTTTGGGGGGGCTAATTTGGTTTTTGGGGGGGCTTAGCCCCCCCAAGCCCTCCCCTAACTTCGCCCATGCTGTGGATTAGGCTGATTAGTAAAATACTAGCGCCATCTTTTGAACAATATCAGAAGGTGGCATAGGCTGTTTTGCATTGTATACTTATATGCGTGGAGAACGAGTTAGGCCGAATATCACAAAATCGTAAATTTGTGGGTTAGGCCGTTTTCGCACTGATAGCCTCACATGTTGTAAATGTATTATTTTGTGTATGAACTCTCACCATCTTCCTTCTGCTACATTAATGCGGCTTTTGGTAATTTTTTAATCATTTGCGTAATTCTGTTAACCTATTGAAGACCAGACTTACATATAAAGGACGTAAAGCGGCATGTCCCTAGAGACTTTAAAAAACTTATTCAAACATTCACATGTCCATTGAAATCTAAGGATTTTCAAACGTATCTAATCTCTTATTTCTTTGACCCCGAAAGTGATTTGCACGGTAACTTGGTACTTAATCTCTGGGTAACACCTTGGAATTGTAGGAAAAATTCAATTGTAGATTCAGACATGCTGATTTAATTAGTTGATTAGCATGATTTAGACTGCTAAATACCATTACTTGGAAATGATGTTAATTATTATAGAAATAAATTGTATTAAAAGATTAATTTGCTTTCAAAGACGTGTATATATTTATTTTAATAGATCGTTTTAATGGTTTGATAATAAATAGTTATTTGGAAAATTTAAATTAACTTTAAAATTCTGAGAACCAATACAACAAGTAGTTTAACGATAAAACGTTTTAATCAAAGAATGTATTTATAGTTCATCTATAAACGGACATTTCTAATAGGATTGTTTAAGGTGCAAAATATAAAAAAGAGTGGTTATTTTTTAATAATTAACTTTTATTAATTTATTTAATAAAGCTGTTTTGTTGTTTCAGATTTAATCAACCAACCGGACACCATGAAAGGGGAACACGAAGAGTCTCCTTCTAGTTCACCAACTAGTAAGAAGAGTACTCTTAATGATGGTCTCTTGATCGTCCCAAATAATGTCAGATGTATGGTCAAAAGTACAGTGACGGAACACAGAAGAACAGGTTCAACAGGTAAGTACATACATAAAAAATATTTCAAATTGTTATATTGTTCATATTTTGGGGTTTAATTATTATACTTTGTATGCCTCGAAGGACCAGAATATTCCAATTCGATTTATAGTTTACCGAAACTGGACGGTTTGTTTTCCTCCTGGGCTCGTCTAACTATGTCTCCGAATAACACTGAAGTCTATTGGCTTATTGTGTTTTACCCCATGTTAGTTCATAGCACCAACTCTGTCACCTTTGTACCTTGTACAAGTTTGTACAGATCCTTGGGTTCTATACGTTATTGGATCAACCTGGAGTTGTCTAAAAAGAGCCTGTCTTTTGCGATCTAGAGCTTCGCATTCGCACAGTATGTGTTTGGCCGTTTCTGGTTTATTGTGACATAGTCGGCACATGAGATCCCCATTGTACATGCCAATTTTGTTCTAGTGTCCCTTTACTAGGCCGTGCCCAGTCATGAACCCTGTTATCACTTTCAACTGGTTCCTATTCATAAAGAGTAGTTCTTCAGTTCTTTTGGGACATGGTCTGCCTATAAAGGCTTTGCCATGTGCCTGTTTTGGGGTGCTTCCCCAATAGTTAATATGTTGTTCCCGAATCCAGTCGCAGTCGTTTATGAAATCCCGGACTGTACTTTTTGGTACTCCTGCGTTTGTGTCTGGTTACGGTGTTTCTTTTGACCCTCTTTTTGCAAGTTCGTCAGCCTTTTCGTTGCCTTCGATCCCTTGGTGACCTGGCACCCAAAATAGTTTTACCCTTCGATGCATTCCCATGTAATTTTCTGACTCGATATGGCCTTAAGTGCCGCTTGGCTGTCTGACATTATTTGAATATGCTGATTTTCGACAGCTCTTTCATTGTTCGTTTTTGCACATTGCAAAATTGCGTATACCTCGGCCTGAAATACCGAGGAATGTATTCCTATAGCATACCTATGGTGTTTGGTTAGTATCAGGGTTTTTTGGACAATACTCCCGCCCCAGTGCCTTCCGCAGTCTCAGACCCGTCTGTATACCCGGTTTGTTCCTGTCGTTGGGCATTGGGCTCCCTTATGGTGATCTCCGCTCTTTCCTGTATTAAAACCTCAAATTTAGTATTATGTGGTCTGATCTCATTTCTAGCACGTCTCCTGTCACTAACTTTGAGATACTCATGTGATCTGCCTAATCTGTAAGCACCTAATCTTGCCTCCCCTTCTATCACATAGTGAAGAGGTGGAAGTCCTATTAGTGCTTCCATTGCAGCTGTGGGGGTTGTTTTCATTGCCCCCGTTATTCCGAGGCAGGCAAGTCTTTGTACCTTGCTTAGCCTCGTTATTGCTTTCCTTTGCTCTGTCTTTGGCCACCACACCAAAGCTGCGTATGTTATTGTCGGTCTCACCACCATGTTATAAAGCCAATATACCATGTCTGGTTTTAACCCCCATTTTTTTTCAAAGGATCGCCTTGCCTTGCCAACTGGACGGTTAGAACAGTTTATTATTTCCTGCACTTATGATAGAGTTAGATCCGTTCTCATTGATTGATGGACAAGGTAAGGAGAAAGCTTGTACGACTGCCTGGGGTTGTGTCCTATTTAGTTATATTCATGAAATATATATTGAATGTAACGAGAATATTAATTTATTTATACAGGGTTTGTTCAGGAAAGTAAATTGCATTTTTGTATTAAATGGAAAATCACATTTTAGCAGAAGTGTCTTCTTTTATTTTTGGAAATCCTGACGTGAATTCTCAGTTATTCAAATGATTTCTATCTAGATTCTCTTATTCCGGATATTCGGAACATCCGCGTTTTTTGGCCGACCTTCCTCTTTTAAGGTTTTAAATCTGCTCATCTGGGCGGTCCAGATAAAGGTGAAAAGGGAGGTAATCACCCCCTCCCCCCAAAAAAACGAACACCAATAATACACAAATTTGATTTTTAGCTTTATTTAAAATAATAAAAATCATATTTGACAAATTTAAATAAAATAATAACACAGCATCACTCTCCGCATTAGATTATTAGATTAGTGATTCCAAATGTTATTTTTACTTTCCTGTCTGTATATAGATAAGGAAAGTATAGGAATCATGATTTTTTCGACTTTGACTGTTCGACGGATTTTTACGTTTTGGGGTCGCCTGAATCCGTTTTGACTATTTTCGCGATGATTTTGTATTTGGTTTTTTGGATCGCTCTTAACTTGAATTACTGTGTTTCGTCTTTCCTAGTATCTTCCGCAACACCTCCATTTTTGTAGCTAGCAACTTCTGATTAGTGATTTAATTGTTGATAGAACATTATAGGGGCCATTAATTGTGTTGTATATTAGAAATTATTATCCAAATGTTGTTCTATGAAGTTTTTCTATTGCAATATCAAAGTTAAATTTTCCCATTTCAATTTAAAAAAAAATACTCATACTTTCAAAGTGCTCGTATTCTATTGCTTTTGTGATTAAACTGATGAACTAATTAAGCATTATATCTTTATTAAACATAACTATTGAACTTTTTTGTCTGTCATCATCTTTGTTCCCTATTTCCTTTATGTTATGCCGGTTTCAGAACCATATCGTTTGTACAGTCCAGCGTGTCATAGGGGCAAAAGTTTAAATTCAACCGAAAGCACATACATATAGTTTTTGTTAAGCAATTTATAAGTCTGTTTTAAATTTAATCTTTCTAATTTCCGTAGCAGTTAAATATATTTAACAATTAATTTTCTTCTTCTCGAAGTACCAACGCTGGGCAAGTTTTGCCACTGGTAATCTTGGTCGGGATCCTAGATGTAAGGTTCTACACTATCGAACCGACAATTATGTATTTAAGGAGCAATTATTATTTTAACTATTACCGGCAGGTGTTGTTGTCAAGGGCCTTAGATTTACAAATATCAATTTTATTTCAGTTTTAAATGAAGTAGACCTTGTTTGTCCATTTTTACTTCTCCTAATTTAAATAATTAGTTTGCTTTGTTCTAGGTACTACCGGTGACGAATCTTATACAACAGATGACGAAGAAGATATCGATGAACCCGACATTACAATCAAAGACCACGTGACACGTAATCTCTTCAACAACCATGACCCCGGGACATTCGGTTGTTTTTCCGATATCTCTACTATTACAGATAAGGTCAGCAGACACTTGAGTGTGATGAACAGGAACAGTTCAGACAGTTCTGTGTACAGTGACAAATACGTGGAAGAACTCGGTTTAGACGAGAAAGGGCTCTGTTCGGATGACAAGGACCATGACAGTGATAACAAAAGTGGTGCTAGCGGTAGTGATAGGGGAAATTGGACTTTACCGGTGGTTGAGGTTAAGGAACAATCGTTTTTGAGGTTGCAGAATGAGTTAATTGAAGCCAATCAGGAGTTAAAATTGAGGGATCAGGAGTTGACTAGGTTAAACCGGATGCAGCAGAATGTTGAGTCTGAATTGGAAGATTTGACCGCAAGTTTGTTTCAAGTAAGTAATAACAAAACTATAAATTAATGCCGTAGAGATATAACACGTCACCTTGCCAAAGAACCAAGGGCAAAACTGTCTGACCAGTAGCTAACTTAAATATTTTGTACAAAGCTACAGAAAATTAAACAAAGGTGTTGAATGCCTTTCTTTGGCAACATATTTAACTATTGTTTCACTGTTTTTTAATCCTTTTGAAAATTAAAAAATGAGAAAATATTGGTGGTAGCAACTCTGATAGCAAAAGCCCAACAAAAACGTTGATCTAACCTCAACATGTATTACGTTGCGTAATCTGTGATCCGCAAGGATCCGTACTGTGCGATATATAACCTTTTTCTTATTATCTAGGATGCAACTTTTTGATCATAGTCGATTGCTGGCTCAAATGCCCCGGACTTTTTAGACTAGTGTCAATAATGTCAATGAGAGCCAATTTGGATCTGGTGCTATTTATATGTATTTTTCTTCTGGGATACTGCACAACATACATTTTGTTAAATTAATACGCAAATTATCTTTATAATCACAACTAAAGTATCAAAATGAATTTGGGATATACCTTGAATATATTTATAAAAAGGTCAAAACAGGTCGGATTTTTAACAGACTTCAAAAAAGGAGGAGGTTTTCGTAATATTCTGTTTATGTATGTTCAGCAATAATCCTTTAACACGGTGTCCGATTTCAATGATTCTTTCTTTGTTAGAAAGGGGGTACTTCAAGGGTCCATTAGAAAATCCTCAAACTCTTCATTTTTAATGTATGTTTAGCGGTAATTCTTTACCACCTTGTCCAATTTCTATGATTCTTTTTTGTTAGTAAAGGGGTACCTCAGGGGTGGTCCCATTTAAATTTGGTCAAAATCTAATAATTGGGTCCATGAGAAAAATCCTCAAACTCTTCAATTTTTATGTATGTTTAGCGATAATTCTTTACCACCTTGTTCGATTTCTATGATTCTTTTTTTGTTAGTATGGGGGTAGTCGGTTTTTTAAAATTACTTTTAATACTTGTATTTCAAATAGATGATTTCATCGGAAGACATATTGCATTTGCAAGGTCATTGCAAGAGCTTTGCGCTATATATCAGTTTACATAGCTAATGGAAACAAGATTTTATTTTAAAGGAAATTTAAAGGAAGTTATCTTTTCGGCAATATGTTTAAGATTATGGCGTCAGCATAAATTTCTTCTTTTTCCGTTGTCTTCTTCTTTAGCTCTATGGGCTCAGTTTTTCACTAGCACTATCTGAGGGCTACTTGGCTTGCCAAGAAGCGCGTGTTAGGCCTCTTATGGCTGATTTTTTTGTAAAATAAACAATATTTAAAGATGAAACTATGGCACTGGGTAGATAGTGAATAAGTTAACCCAGACAACAATAGAACAAGACAAGGGAAAAAAGACGAAAATGCTGACGCCGTAACTTTATACAGATTGCCGGAACAACAAATTTACAGTTTCCTTTGAAATAAAATGCTTCTTCTATTACTTGCAACTCCAAATCTCCAATATGTCTTCCGATGAAAAGTTATTTCCATAAGTGCGTAATGGCTTTACAATATGCATTGTGTACTATACTTTATCTACGACCACTTGGAACATGGCGTACATTGCGCTCTGTGGAATATTTTTTGTATAGATTGTTGAGAGTCATATGAATGAGAAATATAAATTTACTAAAAGTTAGTCTCAACTCTGAAGACACTTTATTACAACTTGCACAGGCAAATAAATATACGTGTAAATGCTTGATAATATGTTCTATGCGTTTTGTTTACTGCATTTTTTGTTTAGTGCACGTTTTGTTTACCTTAAATTTTGTTTACGGTGCTTGTTAATTATCGTGCGTTTTGTTTACCGTGCTTTTTAATTATCGTGGGGTTTGTTTACCGTTTGACTTGTTTACCATGCAATTTTTTAACTATTGAATACGCCTGTAGGTTCGGTGTTTTTATCTGCTTTCCATATGGTACTAGGTAAACATATTAACGTATTCCCTACATCGATTTTATTTTAAATCATCCTGTAGATTTAACATGTCTGAAGACAAAGACACATTCTCGTTTAAAAATAAGGAAAATGATAAATTATATATCATTGTGTAGAGACCATTATCGTTAAAAATTCTTTGTTTTACGTTTCATAATAAATAAATGCGTTAAGAAATAACAAAGGTATGTCTCAAGTTTCGCTATGCCATTTAAAGGTATGTAGGTAATTGTGTAATTTGCAAGCATACCTTTTCAGTTCAAACACGAATTTTAAATATAATATTGCTTCATGTAGCTATTTTTTATTTGATAACGAATATATTTAATGTCTTTTAAATCTATTTTTGGTAAAAATTTATGAAATGTTAACGAAAATTAATTGTATAAAGGTAATAAACTTATTGAATATAAGAATTCATTAATAATGTAGATTATCATCAAATAATCGATAAGAGGTCGACATACTTATGCGAAGAAGAAAAACGAAATTCACATAATAGGTAATTGGCTGGATAATTATTGGATACAGTAAAACGAAAATTATCCCTTTTTAAGGAAAACCGTATATTTGCACTTTAGGGCGTATAATTTAAAAATAAATTAGAGGAACGCTAAATTGGTAGTTCCCACCTTAATGAACTATCCTACAAGCAAACTCGTAGCGTAATAGAAACGATTTTATTTTGAACGGAAGACGAAAAGATCATGTGAAGTATTGATAGTTAAATTTTCGTGTTTGTGCATCGATGTTACTTAGGCTAAACGATGCCCTATTTTTTAAAAATAATTTCAATTCGTAAAAAATATTTGGTGCGTTTACTCCCTAAGACTGTCGATGAAACGAAAAAACATTCCGTTGAACACATTACTAAACTTTGCAACAGAAGTGAGGAACCTAGGTCTTACCTTTGATAGCAAGTTGACATGGAACCCACACTTTGAAAACAGAGTAAAAGAATTATACATTGCTTATGAATAGTGCCGTTGGACCGTGGGGCGCACCTGAGGTCTCTCCGCAGTTGTCGGAGTACCGAATACCCAAAAATTGACAGCTATCCGCAAACTAGAACAAATTCAACGAACAGCATATCTCAATATAACAAGAGCCACGAAAACTACATCAACCAGAGCCATGGAAGTAATTGTTAGTCTCATTCCCCTTGGTATTTACATCAAGGAGGTTGCTCTGATGACAATGACAACTCTTTGCACGGTTGGAATAGAACCTGATGTAGGATATGGTGAGGCGAGACGTTGCTGGACTCCATTTCAGCGAGATATATCTTCCATAGGCCATATAAACTTATAATGAAACAAATAGAAAAGCCAGAATAGAAGGTTCGATTCATATCTACACCGACGGTTCTAAAACAAAACAAGGCTCAGGATGTGGACCTGGCCCTTCTATTTTTTATTAGTCTGTTCGGATTTGTCAAGCGTATCATAAAAGCACTTTTCAACCAATAAAAAACATCTTTTAATTATAACTATTGTCACTAAAGATTATACTCGTAGATATGTAGTGGATTCGTTTAATTTTAAATTGTTCAAAGTCACTTTCTCTAAACTTTTCTGTTTTGGTAATCTTCAATCGGTAATAATTATGATCATTATGAATTTTAATAGAAACCTGTCAATTCACAAAGCCACTGGAAAGTCGTTACTTTCATTTGTATTTTTGTGCGAGTCTGTAGGTAATAATGATACAAATCAAGAAAATATGAAATGTTAAAACTTTTGTTGTGAATTCATAAGCGCAACTACATAGGTATTGCTTCTACAATAAAGAATGTAAACATGGATTCATTAGTATATCATTTATGTTGTGATTATTAATAGAGGGCGCCATTTATACCTAGATACTCAAATGGTTTTTCGACCTAACTTTTTCCCACTTTATGATTACTGTATTGGTTTTAATATTCTCTTTAATCAATATTCATTTTTACAAAAATTATATAAACATTCAAACATCCGAATAAATTTTGATTTCGTGTTGCGAAACTCTTTTAAAGATAACTTCTGGTTAAATAAAATCACTAAATAGTCAAAAAAGAAGAATATTCTACGAAGTGAAATTGGTCAGAGAAATTCGGATTACCTAGCTCTCAGAATTTATACATTATTACTCAGTGATATAAGAACTATACAAACTTATAATATCCACAAAAAATAAATTAAAACATTGATAAACTCAGAAGAAAAATTATTGGGAATATGAAACTATATTATCCCCAATTCCCTTACGAAATTTATACCAAACAAATTTAGTTTGGTTGCTGCGAAACTCTTTTAAAGACGACGTCTGGTTAAATAAAATCACTAAATGTACAAAAAATAAGAATACAAATTCCACGAAGTAAAAATGGTTAAAGAAATTCAGATTACATCTCCCAGAATTTATTTATTACCTAGAAATATAAGAAATATTCAAAAATAAATAAAAAAATTAATAATCTCGAAAGAAAGGATTTTTTTCAGTAATATTTTAAAATAATTTAGTGTAATTAAAATATAAGGTTTTTTTAAATTACTTACCCTCAATATGAAAATTTTATTATTACCTATCTGTAAACATTAGAATAAACAAATGTTTTGTTAATAAACATGTAATTTTTTTAATAATAAAATGATAAATTTGCACCCTATTTCAATGTTTTGTAAGAGTGCATTTAGTTTAATAGTTCTTTATTAGTTCTGTAGTTTGAGATAAGAAACGGCAATTACACAATACGAGTTGCAATTGAATGCAGTTTCTGTGATGTTATTGTTTATTTGTAATATAATATATTGAATTTTTCTGTAATTTTATGTTTTTGAGTAAACATACATTTATTATCATTATATGTACAAGGTTTTCGGGCACCCATGTCATCTATGGACGTGGCATTGAGAAAGAATCATTATAGAGCTAACTTTTAGTTATTGCCCGTTACAGCAGGCAATATGGATCTTAGGGTGGAACAAATTAGATACAAACTATTTTTTCGTTTCAATGTGTAGGGA